CTCTCCTAGTGGCGTCTCCACGATACGATCCTCTTCAGCATGAGTTGATTGCCGCCGGAGTGTACTTGCGACTTCCTGGCCCACACTTGATGAGACAGCCGCTGCCCCGAAAGGAGCTGGACAGGCCGGTTGCATCGCCATCGCCGCAGACTCACACAAACCTCCCAAATGACTACCGGGTCATGACAGAAAGAAAGCACGAAGACGATGAGGGATTAAAATAATCTGCGTGTCGCCCGTCCTTTGTGACAAAACCTGTCAAGAACCAAGAGCGAGGGTTGGGCGTGGAGTGAAAGGAAGGAGCGAATGATAAACAAGTCATCCTCAGGAAACAACCAAGTAAACAGGTACCGTACATATCATCATCCAGGAAACATAAGGTAACCACATCCCGCACGGAGAGCGGATAGAAAGATATCCGAGCCAGGGTAGCATAAACAAAAGGGAATCCGATGAGAAATAACATTCAGGAATAGGATGTAAGCGAACCCGAATACGCCACTCTGACTCTACTCCGTATGGTCAGGTTCCCAGCCAAGGTATCATCGCATCATAAGCGACGACTCCATGACGGTCAGGCCACCAGCCCCTGCCATTCAGTGGTTGACAAGAGGGACATCGAATCATCTTGGCAAGTCAGCAAACTAAACATGGATCATGTGGGTTCGGTCAAGCCCGGTTTCTCCATTACACGCCATGACATGATTCAAAGTACTCCGTAGTGGGGTCCCGTCAACGATTTCCGGGGTAGCTGATTATCAGGATCTTGGGAATTGGACCTTTGAACCTGGGATGGTGCGCGAACAGCCAATGCTGCAGCATCATAATAACTGCTCATCAGTACGGAAAACTATAGGCACTCAACAATGCACATGCTGAAGCACATTTATATCCCTTTCTCTCCGAGCAATGGCCTCACGCAGAAGATGGAGATCGGATATTTAATCATATTACATAATCATGATCCTGCACTAAGGACAAGGCTAGCCACTAAAACGGCAATTGTTGCTCCGGGCTGCAGTTGGTGGCTGAACTCTCCGACTACCCACTGATTGGCTTCGTATTGCCTGCGTATTCGCAAATTCACCCGAGAGTTGTCATACTACTCCGTACGTACTACTCAAATGAACCGTGATCTCTCAGAGCGATACAGATACAGCTGCTGGTTAAATCTGGAGGGCAGTTGATCTGATGTTGGGGAGGACAAGAACCGCGATGTGTTCCCAGTATCTTGGGCCAGCAGGAGTCAGCAATGTCCCCCTTTTTCCAATCGGTCCTCGGTGCTTGCTGATATCAAGCGACGGGATCTGGAATTAATTCTTATTTTAGCTGTGTCCAGTTATGTTCAGCTTTTTCTGCATACAGTCAAATCGAGTAACTATGCATTGTAGCGATATTACACATATTTGATAACCAAGTACGGGTGAGTATTCTCTGAATTTTGCACATCTTTCATATCTCTCCTGAGAAGTGCAGCTCTTTGCCGTTTCGAGAGTCCGATGAGGATCAACGTTAAGCTAGCTTGGCAACATGGCTCAATAGTGGAGCACGATTTCGTGCTTATCGATATCCATGGGCTCAAAACTATTCAAATGGTCCTTTTGTCTTCAAAGGCATGATATTTTTTTCCTCGAGCCTGACGACCCTCGAGACTCTTTGTCGTCTCAATTGGACACCAGTGCTTTGAGAACGAATCCTGTCGGCCTCCCGGCGATACGCTCTGCATTGATTTCCTGGGCCACAGCACCTACCCATTCTCGTCATGTCGTCTCCTGCATGTTCAGCGGTAGACAGTCCAACAATAACAGACCAATCAGATGATGTTGAATCAACCCTGTCTGTCCTGTACGAGGAGCGACCGCTGCTGGACTCGACGGACGGATTTTGGGCACCACCCAAAGGATTTCTTTGGGTCCAGATCGGTAAGTACATCCCCGCGAAACCACTGAAGTGGAAACTCACTGTCATTGTCAGCCATCATGTCGAATGTATTTCTGTCCGGATTCGATGGCACCATCACGGCCTCAACGTACGCTGTGATTAGCTCGGAATTCAAGGCCGCCAACACTGCGTCGTGGCTCACAACCTCGTATCTCATCACTAGCACCGCCTTTCAGCCTCTATACGGTCGCTTTTCAGATATATTTGGCAGGCGAGTGTCCTTTTTCACCGCTACCATTACATTCGTCATTGGCTGTCTGGGTTGTGGTGTTGCGAGGGATATCGTCTTGCTGAATATGATGCGGGCGTTGACGGGAATTGGCGGTGGAGGTCTAATGACTATGGGTAAGTCGCATCATCCCGAGCTGGAGGACAGCTCTCACACGATCCAGCGACAATTGTCAACTCCGACCTCATCCCGTTCAGACGTCGAGGTATGTATCAAGCTCTGCAAAACGGCATGCATGGCTTTGGCTCCATCTGTGGTGCGTCTTTTGGTGGCTCGATTGTTGATACGATTGGATGGAGATGGTGCTTTCTGGTGCAGGTTCCTGTAGGACTGTTCGCATTGATCACAGGCCATCTTGTTCTGCATCTTCCGCGGCCTAGCCAAAATTGTGGACAAGGGCAGAGTTTTCGGGCGATACTGCGGCATCTCGATCTATCAGGAGCTCTGCTGCTCATTCTTGGCCTTTCAAGCCAACTCGTTGGCTTGAGCCTGGGTGGAAATCAGCTTCCGTGGTCGAGCATTTGGGTCATCCTCTCACTCTTGGCCAGCTTGCTCCTTTTGGGCTTGTTCATGGTCGTCGAAGCCAAGACGCCGGCAATTCCTCTGATCCCGTCAAGAATGCTCCGCGGGCTCATGCCTGTATCCACTCAGATTGCGAACGTTTGTGTTGGAATGGCTGCGTATGCAGTGAGTGTACCTCTGCTATTGGCTTGTCTAGCCTACAGCTAACCAAAGGCAGTTTCTCTTCACTCTCCCGCTCTTATTCCAGGTAATACTGCTAGACACGCCTACCAAAGCCGGGGCAAGATTGGCTATTCCCTCCTTGGCCACTCCCATCGGCGGGCTGATCGCTGGTATTGTCATGTCCCGCTGGGGCAGATTGGCATACCTTGTGCGTGCAGGGTGCTTACTGATGTGCATTGGGAATCTGCTCGTGATGTCTATCCAATTCCACGATGCTGGGTGGAAATACCTCACCTACGTGATTCCAGCCAGTCTTGGCCAGGGGATTGTCTACCCCGGAATCTTGTTTACGTTTCTCGCTGCATTTGACCACACCGGTAAGTTGGGGGCTCTACCTCATCGGAAGTTCCGGGCTCATACCTTCAATTAGATCACGCGGTTTCTGCATCCACTGTCTACCTGATACGGTCTCTAGGGACTGTCTGGGGCGTTGCCATTACATCAACCATTATTCAAAATACATTACGCTCAGGCCTTTCGAAGGCCTTGAGTGGAATACCAGACAAATGGAAAGTAACATCCCTCAAATGGATAATAAGTGCGACATGAAACATTGGCTGACCCTCGCAATTGATGTTGTGATAGATTATCGAGCAAGTTCGACACTCCGTTTCCGCCATACAGGACCTGCCCCCTGATGTACAGATGGCCGCACGACTGGTTTACTACAGAGGTATCAAATTGTCTTTTGCTGCATCTGCTAGCTTCGCATTTATTGCGACCATTGCTGCGTTGTTTTCCAAGGGTAAGGGGTTACAACGGGGGAGCTCCGCATGAGTCTCGGAGCGTCCTCGGGGATAGAAACCGACAATGCTCTACGCCGGCTATTGTAATCTACAGTGACAAGGCGGGGAAAGGTAGGTTCTGGCTTCTGCAGTACGTCATTGACTAGCTGAAGCTTTGTTGGATTGGCGAGTGGAAGTTCAAAATCCATTCAAATGTGAAGAGAGGATCACTACGCTTGTAGCCATGTATGAGGCCAGTCGCCGCGAATATGGAATACAATCGTTCACAGGCTCAAGTAAAAGACATTTTATGCGTTCTAAAGGGGATGATATCATGGCGAAAAGGTTCGATTCCGCTCTGCGGAGCAATCCCGAAGGCGCGCGGTAACCCCGCATATCTTGAAGGACTATGACTTGGCTGTCAGTCCACATTGCTTCCGAGATGAGAACTCATCGATATGTTCCACTGCCAGAAAGATGTGTCTTCATAGGTCTCTGTACTGTGTAGAACTAGAGGCAAAGGAGAGATATTTGTCCGCTGTCCACATAATCGCCCTACCAAGATAAGGATGGACCTTGTGGCGAAGAGAACGATCATGTTGGTGTCTACATCACAAGAACAAAACAGCTGGGCCACTGACATGTCAATCGATTCAAGTTCCCCACAATTTATCAAACAGCGGTCATTCCTCCGCATCAGCTAGCTATCGTCAATAGCCAGCCGACGGGTCCCTTGGGATGGAAATTCGGAACCAAACCGTAACCCTGAAGCTAAATTGGGGCGAGCTTAACCACGGCTGACCTGACCATCGATATCGACGCCATGGACCAGCCCTGATTTGCGGGGAAATTGGCTTTTCGTCTAGACTTCAGCTGTCGTTGAGCCAGTAGTTGTCGTCCGAATTGGCCATCCCTTACCCTCCCCCGCAAAATCGTTAACAATCCTTTTTCAGGCAAGTGGCAGAAATTCCGCTTTGTTCCGTCCGATGCACTCTTTTCTTGCCTGTCGAAAAAGGAACTGGAGTTTCTGCCCGATAAGCGAAGCTTGTTGGAGAGGGTGTTGTTGATAACAGGCTCGGAATTCGATAGGGCGTTCCGACATTGTTCTGTTGCCTATCTGAGCCGGTCAAATGGGATCAGCCATTGCATAATGAGATGTCAGTAAGGGTAAGATCATCTTTATCGCTATAACTCACGCCAGTGGATGCGACTATCCTGTTAGATTATGGATCTCAGGGATGTGGCGGCCGTAGGTTGGAGGGGGAGTCTGGGGAAGTATAACTCGTAGTCCATATAGAAGTCGCCAGCCTCCTCACCAAAGGGCTCCCCATCATGCTGCATCTTACATCTTCCAATCCATTATGGAGACAGAAATCAAAAGAACAGCCTCGTATTCCAAACCACAAGACAATGGAAACCCAGAAATCGAACTGGCTACCGGCCAGGTCGTCATGGGCCTGCTGGACATGCCCATGAAGCGCAAGTTCGGCATCCTCAGCATCATCGCCGTGGGCTACAATATCTCCAACAGCTGGGTCGCCATCGCCACCAGCTTTGCTATTGCCGTGCAGTCTGGAGGCGCTGTGTCATTGCTCTACGGTATCGTCGCTGTCACTGTTGCCATGCTGTGCACGGGTGTCACCCTGGCGGAGCTGGCCAGCGTCTATCCCACCGCAGGCGGACAATACCATTTCACCTCTATTCTGGCGTCTGAGCGATGGAGTCGCGGTCTGTCGTACTTTAGTGGTCTTGCAGCCGTGTTCTCGTGGATCACACTCGCGGCGTCGATTGCGGTGGCTTCGACGCAGGCGCTCATGGCCGTGGTTATCCGCTGGCAGCCTGAGTATGTGCCTCATGCGTGGCATTACTTTCTGGTGTATCAGCTCTTCAACGTCGTCATGGTTGTCTACAACATCTTTCTCACCAACAGAACCCTCTGGGTCTACAATGCGGGCTGTATGTTTCCCGCCCATCCCTCTCCTCCCCATTCCCTGGTATATTCTTCTCTATGCTGACATCGTCATCCAACAGTTCTGCTCTCCCTCGGAACCTTCCTCGCCATCACCATCGCCTGTCCCGCCCGCTCCCACACCGAGGTCGACTCCTGGGCCATCTGGACGCAGTTCACCAATGGCTCCGGCGGCTGGCCCAACGGCATCTCCTTCCTGACCGGCCTCTCCACGCCGCAGTTCATGCTCTCCGGTCTCGACGCCACCCTCCACCTAGCAGAAGAGTGTCTCGAGCCAGAGCGTATCGTCCCCAAGGCCGTGATGGTAACCGTCATTATCGGCTTTCTCACCGCGTTCCCTTTTTCCATCGCCGTCATCTACAGCTACCGCGACGTGGAGTCATCCCTGTCCTCCGCAACAGGGTACGTCTGCGTCTTAGCGTATTTCCCTCCCATAATCACAACTACAGCCCACTGATAAACAAACCCGTCTAGATTCCCCATCTACTTCATCTGGGAAAAAGCCACCCGCTCCCCGGCAGCTGCCACAATCTTCATGGCCGCCCTCGTCGTCGTCTCCGCCGTCGCCTTCAACGCAGTCCACCAGACCGCATCCAGACTCACCTGGTCCTTCGCCCGCGACGACGCCCTCTTCTTCTCGCGCCGCCTCGCATCCGTTCATCCGTCCCTCAACGTCCCCGTCTACTCCCTCCTCCTGAATGGTCTCCTCGTCCTTCTTATCGGGATTGTATACGTCTGCTCGACGACAGGTATGTGTCGGCAGCTGCAACTTTAACCTCCACCGGAGAGTGAACTAACGAGGCGCAGCCTTCAACGCCTTCATAGGCACAACCGTCATCGTCGCGCAGATCTCCTTCGCTGTCCCCGCGGCATTGCTCATCTACCGCCGTCGCTCGGCGGAGTATCTCCCGCCATCGAGGCCGTTCAAGGTCCCCCACGTGGTGGGGTACGTGTGCAATGTGATGACGATTGTGTGGGCGGTGGTAATTACGGTTTTCTTTACGTTTCCGACGACGTTCCCGGTTACCGGGGGGAATATGAGTACGTCATTTTTCTTCTTTTCCTCTTGTTGTAGACGAAGATTGGGGCTAACTAGGGTAGATTACGCGTCTGTTGTGTTGGTTGTAATGTTGCTTCTGGGGGTGGTGAATTGGTTTGTGTATGCGAAGAGGCATTACCATGGACCGAGGTTGGAGATGTAATTGCAGATGCAGATGCACGTTTGCTTCAGTTCGTTGAGATCTTATCTAGTCATATCACTGTCTACATAATGGTCTTCCTGTACACATTCCTCTTTCAATATGCTGAGTCGCATAGCGATCACTTATGACCGTTGGTCTTCAGAACAGCCACGCTCAGATTCGGCAAACTGAATTGGAAAACACCCTGTTTGCCAGCCCGCAAGGTCGACACCTTGCTGTTGACGAGGTTGGCACCGCCCACTGCGTTCATGGACAAGGCGTCAGGCGCAGTCAGCACAGTCAGTTCAGCGGCGGTGCCGGCCTTGACGCCGTCAAAAGTTAGCGAAACCGGTACGTCGGTGGTGCTGTTGTACACGGCCGCCTTGAAGATGTGGCTGTTGGTGCTGTTGTCGAGACCGGCGACGTAGTAGAGGGGGCCATACTTGTCGGAGGAGTTGGTGGGGAGCGTGTTGGTCATGTGGGTGTGAGAGAAGAGCTAGCTAATTAGCATGGGTAGTATGGAATGGGGTGCGGATGAGGGGGAGCATACATTATAAACGTGCCAGCTGGTGGAGCGGGCTGTCTGATCAGGGTCGGAATTAAAGGCCAGGAAAGTGGGGGACCACTGGTAGTTGTCCAGGTTCAAGAGTATCGGTGCCTATTTCGTTAGTTTCGGTTATTTTCAACGAGGTATGGCAACCTACGTAGGTCGTTCCGATAATCTTGTTGGCGTTTCTTTCAGCGCCCAGAAGGAACACGGCTTCGGCGACGCTTCCAATCCACCATGGGTAGAGGGAGAAGTGTCTGTTGCCCCAGTCGATTGGGGGTCCGTTGGACTGCGTCGCGGCAATTTCACCTATCAAGTGTTAGTCAGAGCTATAGGTTGGGTTTGTCATACATACCAAGCAGAATCGGGTGCTTCTCGGACATGTTGTCGAAGAAGCCGAAGCGAGTGACAAAATTGTCGGGAATATCGTACAGATGATAGTCACCACCAGCGTCACCAGGGAGGGTCATGTCAACGGTCGATGCCAGGACAGTAATGTCAGGGTACTTGGCCTTGATCGCATCATAGAAAGCCTTGAACCGGTAGGATGTGTAGGAGGCCAGTCCATTGTTCAGGTTATCCTCGTTGCCAACTTCGACATATTTGATGACCCAGGGTTTGGGGTGGCCGACGGAAGCGCGCAATGCTCCATACTTGGTCTCCACGGAGCCGGTGAGGAACTCAAGCTCGTTGAGGGCGTCCTCCACATACACATGGAGTTCGTCCTTGGGGACGACGTCGCCGTTAAGCGCGAGACCGCCCCAGACCGCAAGGACTTGTACTTGGTTAGCGGCATCGTCATGTCCCTGACTGTAAATCACTCACTAGGCTCGAGCCCAAGATCATCGCACCACTCCATGTACTCAACCAGACCCATTCCACCGGTTTCTTGGTATCCCCAAGTAGTGGCACGACCAGGACGGTCCTTAAGGGGACCAATGGTCTCGTTCCACTTCCAGCGGCCGTCGATGGTGTCACCTTCAAGATTGTTACCACCAGGGAATCGTAGGAATTTCTGTGTCGTTAGCAACTTGCGCCATAAGATGTACAATAACCCTGATGCTCACCGGACCAAAATCCTTCATTGCTTGCATCAGATCTCTCCGAAGTCCGTTCGGGCGGTTGTTCCAGGTAGGCGGGAACAGGCTAATGAGGTTGAAGTCCAATGCACCGTCTTCAGCTTTCTGTATATAAACCGTGTTAGTAAGTCCCTGTGGTCTTATCCTTTTGATCTACTAACAGATGTATCAAAAGTTATTGAGAAAGTGTTGTTGGTATCCGGGGCAGCGCTATGAGGAACAAGGGTAAAGCGGTGCTGCACCCATTTGTCCTCAACGCTATGCGACGCAATCTTAGCACTGGCGAACACTTTGCCCGTACGTGCAGACTGAAGTGAAGCCGTGAAGCTGCCATTGTAGGCACCCTTCACATAAAAAGACCCGGTGTATTGCTGGGGCTTGACATCAATGCCCCACCAGCCCAGGTTAGTGAGACCAGCCTGGCCTTTGCTGCCCTTGACGTTGACTGAGGTAGGCAAAGCAGACGACAGTGGATCACTCAGGTTCTTGAGAGACAGAGTAGCTCCATTGACAGCGGTCCACGCGTCCAGGTTGGACGGGTATTTGGAACCTCCCTGGAACGCACGATTGCGAATCAACTCCGCATAGAGGCCGCCTTCACCGCAGTGGTTGATTTCCTGCGATTATCATTAACATCCGTGTCAAAGTTTACTGGTGCTATGAGGAATCACCTCTTCCATCAGACCGTACTGCAAGTTAGTCGTGACATTGCCCCCGGACGACGCCACGGAGATCTTAACAGCGGTGGTGCACACTGCCAGAAGCGGCAGGAGAAGAGACTTGGACAACAGCATTGTATTCCGCTCTGCAGGAAGACAAGCTGTGATAGTGATCTGCAGGTCCTACACCTGGTCAATTGGCAGGGTTATGAGGCAGATCCTGCAGATCGCAGTGGCATTATATATGCGTCCATGGCGGGCCAGGGAAGGATGTCTCCTTGCTGGAGCATAACTCTACCCCTCAATTGAAGCTGTATCTGCGGGATCAACCTGAACTAAGGGACCTGTTTGATTAAAGCTTGCATGAATTGCAAGGGACGAGAACAAGAGACCCGCAAGCGACTGTTTTCAAGCTTCCCGTTCTGGCAAAATCCCTTGAGGGGGAGACAAGGGTGATCGTCAGGGCATTTCCAAGTCCGTAGCGGCAATTAGCCGGGTTGCATGATTAGATGCTAAATCACCTCGAGCAGGTATAGACTTCGCAGAGTGCCGGCAAGATCAGTCAGTACCTTTGAAAAGATTCAGCAAAGGTGTGAGTTGCTCGAACATTGAAGGAAGTCCCATTGAGACTTATGCCAAATACTTCCTGCAACAAGAGCCGTGGCTGAATATTGGCAAGAAAATAAACTCTCTTCATCCCCAGTAGTCTAAATGGTCGTTGACCATGGGAGGAGTTTAGGCAAGACCCAGACGGAAGCTCCCCGCATGGACGGCCCAAATTGCTTGCCATGGAATGTGCGAGACAAGAATCAAAAGCTGAATGGGTGCTGCTGGAGCCTGGAGAAATACCGGAGATTGTGCGTTTAGATGACAGCTAGTCTGAATATGAGCAATGCATGAAGAAATTGAGGAGACTTGGGGATCCTCCATGTGGGGGCTGGGATCTAGGACGGACTCCATTTCTCCGTCCGAAGCCCCCAGGTGCCCCTCGCATTTCACCTGATGGTCGTGGTTAAAGTCATAAGAGGCCTCTACGGTATTGTCAAAACTTTAGCTTTGCGTTGTGTTAGCTTCTTCTCCATTCATCAACTTGACTGGCTCGTTCTCGGAGAGCCAGGTCTTCATGTTCTGATCAGTCTGAGCGGCTCGACCTTCTTGAAGACCATGTGTACAAAGTACACATGTTCCAAGGCGAAAAGAGACCGAAGCACAACTAACGGCCCCGCTGCTTGGTTTCTCTTTCCCTTTCTTTTCCAATCTTGACGCTGTCTTGACAAAAACTATAGGGGCGATCATACCTACAATATCAAGCTCACTTCACCATAAGTTGTGACAACGGATTCGCCTAGCGTGATTTGATTAGATGATCGCTCAATACAAACCATCACAGATTGCTCTTTGACAGGTTCACTTTGGAGTAGACCTCTGGAGACCATTGACCCGGTATCTATGCTATGATGAGGCTTTACGCATTATACTGCAACGCCACAAGAGTCAGCTCTGGCCATGCAAGATTTCCTGTTCATGCGCGATGAAAAATCGTCCTGATGTCACATTGATCGTTACAGGTGACGGTGTGTCCGAGAAAATAACTCAAAAATCGATGTCAGAATTATAAACTGCGTAGGACTAAAGGAATGGTATCCTCTTCTGCAAGCACCTATTCCTTGAAAGTCGTATTCCATAAACAAAAACAAGCGGCATACACAAAAATGTATAGAAACAAAAACCACCGAGCAGAACATCCGAGGTATTGATCATAATAGAGATAAAAAACCGGATAAGTGTATAACAGGGACGGTTATCACTCCCGGCGCGTCTACAGGTCCAGCGGCACGCGATATTGGAATATTATCGGCGTCATCGATCGTGAGGCTTAGCACATTTCACAGCATTCGATACAGTCAAAGCAGCACTCGCAGGTCTCTTCGCAAAGGAAGCAGCAGCAGAGGGTGGCAAGGCTAGCGGAGAAAAGAGCAGCGTTAGCAACTGATACTCAATCATATCTACGCGACTCAGGTCAAGGGACGAAAACGAGTAAAGCTTACCAAGCGCCTAGACATCCACGGTCCTTCTTCTGACGAGGCTGTTCTTGGTATGGCATTTGCTGCTGCAGAGTCTATTAGTTTCTTTATTCTCCGTAGTCATTGCGATTTTGTTGTAACGTACAGGAGGTTGGTACGGCTGTTGCGGTGGAGCATAGCCTTGCGGCGGTTGGGGAGGATAGCCTGGCGGATATTGTCCCTGTTGAGGAGGGTAATAACCTTGGGGAGGTTGTTGGGGGTAGCTATATCCACAAAACAGATTAGAAACAGCCTTCAAGCGCAAAACCCAAGCACAACATGAGAAGAAATCGCTTTATCTTCGTTCTTTCCTGCCGCTCTAAGTAATCAAGTGCCCCCTTCAGCAGCATTTCCTTCGAAGAACAAGAGGCATGACAGCAGTGGTTTCCACGCAAAGCGCATCAAGATCGCCTCCGACAGAGTCCAAGAAGGAAGGGCGCAGCGAAGTTCGAAACACCAGGCCGGAAGGGAATGAACGGAAATGACGATAGGAGATGGGAAGGATTGACGCAAATAAGTCCAATGTCACTTACTGAGGCTGATGGCCCTGATTGTAGTAGTCCGACGAACTCATGATGGAGAGGAAGAATGTGCTACAACGTTGAGAGAGTAGAACAGTCAGTAAAGACAATACAAATCAAAATGGCGGACAGAGAGTAGGAGAATGACACGG